TTTACTTCTTTTATAGAAAAAGAGACTGTACATGATTCGGCTTACCAATCATATAACCTCTTGTCTCAGATGATTTTTGAATATTTGAATGTGAAATGAATCTTTAGATTCATAATCTTAAGATAATGTCTTTCAAAATGGGGTGTGCGATAGACTTACCTCCGCGTGGTACACCCTGGGCAACGTATACTCATACGGCAAGAAAGTCTATAAACCGGCAGTTGACTTCAAACTACCATGACCCCACTGTGTCATATTTGACTTCTTCCACATTACACTCCTCACCTCTTTTCTACCTTCGTCTTTGAAACACCCTTCTGTTTCCCCCACCCCTCTCGACTTTATTTCACTTTGACGTTCCTCATCCCCTCTGTGAAGCCTGAAGTCAACTAAAGGGCTAATGATAACCATCAAAACGCCTGCCATTTGATATAAATAAATAAATGTCTTTCAAAACACTTTTACAGCACAATCAAACGAAAAATAGATATTGGACCGATTTCTCAGTTTTCTGACAACAAAATATTGCCTTTTTACTTTACTTTAGTCAAGCTAAGGAAATATTTATTTGGGCGGTAAAATAAGGCCTTGGATTTCATTGTCAATTGATTTTATTATTCGTCTTCGTGCACCAAAGTCATTGTATTTACTAATGCCAAAATAATATTGTCTAGACTTTTTTAAACCTCGAAACAATGCTGGTCTGCCTTCTGTGTTCAGCCCGTCTTATTTGTAAATCGAGACTCGATGATTCATGTGACAAATACAGTAGCCAAACTAATTTGTGAGAGAGCTTAGTCATCAGTGCCGACCGTGAAGTCATGCAAAACTCGAGTCTAGACGGAACCGGAAAGCTGAAGGAGTGGCTGCAAAAGCATGAAACCAAACAGAATTGAAGGGAAAACTGCGGTTCACTTAAATAATAAAGAAAATAATATTACTGACAAAACTAAGATAAGTAGTCAAAGTTACCGCACTTCAATTGACGGCTCTTAAATCCTTTGGTATTTTTTTATTTATCTTCTCTAAGTCCATTTAAATGCACCTTCCTGTAAAACTTAGTAAAATATCTTCAATAATATTCAAAATGAAGCGCAGAAAGCAGTTGAACCACACTTAAAGCGACTTTTGAGTGGATTTGAGTTAAACTACAAAACACTTGAGAGGCGGTCCAGTGACCAAAGCAACATGGCCACAAGTGGTCCAATAATAGCTACAGCCGTGCAGATACTCTTAGACCGTAGTCCCTTGATGCCTGCAACACTTTAATAATCTTTCATTACTTATTGACCTATTTATAATGTAGTTTATAATAGACCAATCAATCATTCCTAATTACTCGTTGCTTTTAGTTATAATAGAAACAGAAGACCGATTTAAACGGTTGAAAATGCAATATTAAGTCAAGAAAATTGAATCAGTTTCTAAGTTAATTAGTGGATGATGAAAGGATGAAATAACTGTACACAATAGAGAGGAAAAAGTGAAAGGACAAAATACAGAAACTCTGGCGACAGCATTGTGTCAATTTTGGGGCACTGGAAGGCAAGGTGGTACACACAGTGACTTTGAATGGGAGAAACTGAAGGATGGGCTGAGTTGATAACACCGGGATGTAAAGCGTTTCTAAAGAATAATAAAGCAACAGTCAGGAAATCTCATATTCTTTATTGTTCTCAGTGACATCCAGATTCCAAGCCTATTCGATGTCTTTAAAAATTTAATTCCTATTTACAGAGAGTAAATATCAGATTCATTGCATCGCTACTACGTCTCTTATATAAGTAACAGGTTGGACATTTAGATTTCGATTTGTAGAAATCCAGGGAGCACTTCCTCCGTCCTTGAGTTGAATTTGGAAGTATTGAATGCAATTTATCGGGTCAAGTCTAAGTCTCAACGGAAATCCCAACACAACTCCTTTCCGTAATCCACGTAATACTTTCCACAAATAAGGTTTCCGGTCTTTGGCTTCCCACAGATCATAACTTGGAGTTCAACGATGCACCACAGGAATGCTAATCTTAAGAGTACGTGCTCGCAGAGCCAGACCAAAATAAAGGGATAACTCCAAAAAAACTTTTTTTCAGCTTATATGGAACTAACCAGAAGATAAGACTAAGTATATCTAGTTTAAAATGGCTAACAATGTAGATTCTTTTCTCTAAAACATGAAACTCAATGTAAAGGGAGATCGAGTTAAAATACTTTCGAATGATTGTAAAAAAGAGGAAAAGACCCTTCTCCTATCGATGGCGTAACAATTTGTATGAGCTTCAAGTGCCCTATTTTCAGTTGCTCGACGTCTAGAAAAATAAAAGAGTAATTGAAACGCCACACATCAAAATTTTATCCCCAACATGGGCGGGGGGATCAATACAAACTGAGAAAGAAACGAGAATATTATCTTGGTTCCTATGGATCAAACCTATCCATTTTTTCACAAATTATACCCACTTTGTGATATATACTAGCCTTAAAAATGAACAGATATATTATTGCACTGATAAACCTAACTGTGCAAGTCTGATAATCATTTGGGAGATATAGGAGGCAGCGGTATTCGGTTGACGCACTACTGGTCGCTTTGCGAGACCGCAGGAACGGCACATGAAGGCAACTGCGGGGCTACAGTGGCTATAGTTTGATTGGATGTAGGTGGGAGTGCTGAAGGCCCCCTAGAAAGTGGTGGCGTATCCTGTCCAAAATTCAAGAGACAGGCTCCACGAGAATCTAAAATGAAATAGCAGTGTCAAATGAGTAGAAATTATTTTTTTATTAAAAAGGTCCTTTCATAAAACATTTATCATCAGTTTAGTCAAATTTATAGAGGAAGAAAGTGCATATCTGGAAATGTGAAGATTCGTGGCGTCTTCGCTTTCAAAACATGAATCACCCAAGAATGTGAATCATTTCTTCCCATCCTATCTCACCACATATTTTTGCTTGCGAGAGCCTGAAACTAAATTAGACAAATCAATAGGAATACTTTTATTCATAAACAATATATACTATTAAGAGCCAGAAAGAGGTTTACACTTATTTGCAAATATGCTTACTTGATCATATTTTGACCACGTTGAGCATAAAACGAGGTGGTGTGATTAACACCGTCTAGCTAAATCTGCTCGTACACTGCGAATGTAAACGAACTCAGATATCCTAATCATGAAAATCAAATTTTGGAGCCGTTGAAAAATGCAATGTTAATATTACTCAGTTACCATTTAAGTCAAACCCCTTTTCATTTCACAATGAAGTAGTTTATTCATTTAATGACCCAGGTGCCACTACGCAAGTAAAACTAGAAAACTATTTTGCCTTTCTATGGATAAATGCAGGCATAGGTATTTCGGTTCCTGCCCCAACGAACTGAAATGACCTTCTGCGTACCACAAGGTACCTAATAATAATTCCAGTTGGAATCAATAAATCGCAAAATATCAAAAACATGACAAGTATAAGCTAAATAGTTGATGCAAATGCACACCTTCAGTTTGAAGCGAACTAAGCTGTCCCACTCCATTGTGATGACAAATAGGCTACATTCATTTCTTAATCTAAAAGTAATGAGAAAATGATAGACATACCTAGTGCCTAGTATTGCCAATAAGCTGACAGTTAGTGCTACAGTAGTTACTTCAGTTAATCTTAATAGGCCAATTATATATGCGCAGGTTTGCAAGAGAGCAGGGAGGTCAGAATCCTCATTCGCCACCATTTAACTTGCCCTGATTTATGTCCCATGACGTTGAAAATTGCTGCAACTATAAAGGCAGGGAAACAAACAAGAAGCTGCTAAAGTTAATGAACTATTAAAGCTCTATTACTTTGAGATCATGTAAGCTGCATAGTATCACGCAAGATCACTCTGGTTCCTCCGTTAAGCAATTAAATACAAACTGGGCGTAGTTGATAATATTGTTTCTTAATCTTAAGTGAGAAATAGTATAGCTTGAGATCTGAAGCGCTGACTACAATTAACTCAAAAAATCGAATAAAGTAATGTTCTTCTATACTAGAGTCGTTTATGTAAAACGATTTCAGTTGCTTATCTACAATAAAAAAAACTGTAATTTATTACTTATTGAGGATTATTATTACTATTACCAATAGTAGTACCGAAATTTGGAATTTCTGCTCGAGGAAAGCAACTGGAATGGATAAGCAGATAATTCAAAGAAATGACAAGGAGGAGGAGGAGGAAGTGACCAAACACATACCGATTTAAGCCAAAGTACTAAAGACAAAAATTTTTGGTTTCCCGTTACATAGTACTCATTAAATCGATAAATTAAGTTCCGAAATTCGAATATCATGATTGATGTCCGAGGCTGCAGTACATTCTTGTCTACGATGTACAGCACTTATTGATGGCTATATTTGCTTAAAATGGGTCTTCCCTCACTCTTCATTTTTTTAGTTTAATGGCTGAGAAGACAAATTATCTTACCTGACATTCTGAAGTTTGACGTTTTAACATAGCAGAAATGAGAAAATTTAAGTAGATTAATTGTGCAGAGCTCAGTAAGTTGCGTTCATGTAATGGTAAACACTGAAAGTTTTGATTATATTATTAACCTGGGTGAATTACACCAGTAGTAAGGCCAGAAATAGATGGGGCAGAAAAAGAAGGCGTGGCGGGTTCTTCAGGAAATCCAGTAAAACGATGAATGACAGCTGAGGTTGTAGCAGAGTGGTTATCTTGAGTAACTCGAGACTGAATTGATGAAACAGGCGGTACTTGTTGGGAATTCGGATGTTTGGATAAGTTTCGTCGACGACTTCGTCGAAGATTGATGCAGGAACACGGTGTAACCGAAACTACCAAGGGGACAAAAGCAACATAAAGATGGGAATACGTGATACAGTAAAATAAGGGAGTATAAGTTATAGCACACATGCCTTACATGCTCTAGCGTTAGCAAAGCTATCTACTAATAAATACACCCCACACCAGAACAGTGTACTAACAAAGTTCAATTTCACTACTTAAAATGAACTGATTTTGAGCTTGGTTGGACAAAAAAGGCGATATTAGTGGGTTGGACAAACATGCGAAAAAGATAACTCACTTAACGTCGTAGAGCTTCTAAAGGGTATATGAAATGAGGATGTGATGATTGTGGATTTTAATAAGTACTGAACAAGACAATTATAGATTATTATTGGTAGAGTAAATGCGTAATGTGAGCTCATAATGTTGATAGTAAGCGTTAGAAATATGACGCATAATGAACAATCATTGTTGATCGGATCAGAGATTATAGTTTTATGGGGAGAAGATAAAACATCAATACGATGTTTTGGTGAAAGAAGAGAGTTTTAAGAGTAAATATTCCAGAAATAAAATTTGTATTTCGTTGTGATTCCATCAATAGTTCATAAGCTGAGAAATAAATAGTAGAGATTAAAAAGTCAGCGACCAACTTAGGCAAATAATTAATAAACGGTGCTCCGATAGACCATTGAACATTTCCAATTTTCAATTAACGTTAAATACAAGAATTAACCAGTCAATCAGCCTGTAAAAAGATTTACCAGAATGCACCGAGGGCGCCATGGTATCAACAGAATATGACTGCTGAGGTAGAGGAGGTGGAGGTCGTCGTGCGGTGGAAGAACAAGTTGAAGAGGTCGAGGAGCTGGATGTGGAACTACTTGACCCACCAGTTGAACCTCTTTCGTCTTCTTCCATCACTGCAACATTTTGACGCTGCTGTTGTTGCTGTAGTCTTTGTAATTACAATAAAAGTTATATTAGCCAAAAATGTAAAATTTTTTAGAATCAGCGGAAAATCGGGGGTTTACATCTAGTGGTATGGACAGCCCATCCTCCACGTTAATACTGACATAAGAAGATATTGAGCATACCGAAATCATAAAAGCAAAACCTCCCTCAGTTTCAAACAAACAAAAATCGAGTGAATCCAGCGTTAAAACTCGTGAGAGGAAAGGAATAATATCAACAGGCAAAATTCAACTAAGGACATCACTTCCTGGGTAGTACCAAGGAAAGAATATAGAAAGCTGCGTACGTATTGAAAAAAATCGAATTTAGTTAGTAGAAAGGAATCTAGTACACTGACGCCATTTTGTATGGCGGCCTGACATTAAAATCATGGCGTTTTCCATTATTTTCCTATTTGCCCTATTTGTCTGCGCCTTAGTTACAATTATTGATCACTTATACTGCAATGACTCATCATGTGACACTTGTCGGAAGACATTTACCGACTTGCTCCTGCCCTCCTTTCTTATTTCACTTTCAGCAAGTTCAAGTAATGACGTGATTTAAGCCAGCACTAGGTTTTAAATTATTGGGCTCTGGTCGTGATTGCAATAGCATACATGGTAAAGTTAAGATTGTTACCAACAAAATATACAGTGAAACACCCATGGGCAAATTAATGACCTATGACTCCGAGTAGAAAAGTGAAGGAATAAATATTGGTGCGATAAGTGCAAATTTCCTGTGGTAATTTTCAAGAACAATATTGTTTAATGACACACCCCATCACGTCCGGAGTCTGTAAATCGGGCAGTATCACTTTTGTCATGGGATGTCCCGTTGCGTTGATGGGAGGTGGGGGTAGTGGGAGAGGCGAACCTTGTTGAGAATTTGCAGGGAACATCGGAATTGTTTGATTAGACTGCCAGAAATGAGAAGTACCCGGAGGGGCTGTTGTGACGGTGGCAGCACTCACCGCACTGAAACCTGTTGGTGGTAGAGATCGAACGTAGGCAGAAGAGATCAAGGAAGATCCTGCAGCAGCAGCAGAAGTGACACCATTCTTCATTGACATAATCTGATGTGTCCCTGAGGAGGCCCCGCCAATCTCAGAAACTGAGTCCATCTCTTCCAGGTTCAATAAACCTAAAAGGAGTATTAAACATACGTTTTACCATTTTGACTATATGAAATTTGCACCACGTAACCACGGAGGTTATATTTGGTAACCTATTAACGAATATCAATCCTAATTTACATTCAATAATAACTTCATTAAACGAATTTAGTACATCGTGCTTAGTGGAATAGTTGGCAACCGCCTATAGTTACTTCATTCACAAAGTTAAAAATGGATTTACGTATTGTGAATAGTTACTCAATCTACTTACTTATGCCAGCGAGCTCGCTGAAGACATAGTAGCACTGCTCTGAGAAGTTGTTCTTATTGACAGTGTGCCGGATGTATCCACATTTGAGCATATTCGATGCGTATTTCCGAACTTCTCGGCGGTCCATGAAGCCGTTCACGTGAGCGAAGAGCCAATCAACCAATTCCGAACCTAAAGTTGAGATCAATTGACGTATTAGTACCCAGATATTTTACAAACCTCTATAAAAAAACAGAAGAACTTGCCAATAACGGCGTTAGAAATGGTGATCTTTAGCCAAGTCCTGTCGTGGATTTCAAGTCCAGAGTCTGGTAAAAGCATAGCTCTTACAACCAATGCCATATCAGTTGTAATGGACAGCTGCTGGGGTTTCTCAGAGATCATCTCGGAAGGAGCCTGATTCGAGCTAGGAAGATGAGACGTGAGGGGAGGTGCAATAGTTCCGTTTCCTACTGTCACGGTCGATTCAGGACCCGATTTGGCAGTTACAGACGAGCCAGAAGCATTGCTATTGGATAGTGGAAGCATACTCTTAGATCCATTGGTAATTCCTCCTGATTGCATAGAGGGGTATGCTGACAAATTAAAACAGAAAGAAGGGTGTATAACGATCTGAATGGTCAGGTGCAAGAAAAGGTCGCTATTTTTCTTTTGTGGTTGATATTCTAACCTCTTTCAATTGCCACTTTCTTCTTACCCCAAACCATGATGTAATCTATCTACAGGATAACAAAGTGAAAGGTCATTCCTTGTTGAAAAAATAGTAAAGGTCTGCAAACTAAAGTTTGCGTATTCATTTTAAAATAAGGCATTTTCCAAATTAAATGCCATGAAATGGAAATGGTTGCGTTTAAAGTTTTAAAAAGAACTTAAAGCATTAGACCAACTATTTGGTTTATCTACTCTTTGATTAATGCTACCGAGTATATATAGAGGAGAAAAGAAGTTAATTGGAGAAATCCAGTTTCTGAATTAATAAAATCAGTGACAATTCAGAGTTACAAATGAAAGAAAAGTTAACCGTTATACCCACATCGTTATCAGGCCTCCGAATGAATTGAGCGCAATGAAACTGGTCATGTTCTCAAATTGATAAAATCCCTTTTCACCGGATTCTACAGAAATAGCATTTAGAAGTTGGTAGAAGAAATACAGGAGGGGGCAGTGGGTAAGAGAGTAGCTATTTTCACTAATTGAATTTAAATGATCTCCTTTGTGGTTGATTTAAGCTTCATCAACCAGCCCCAAAAATTTTATTCCTTAATCTTAGCCTTATGTGAATGCGTATTTTGTTAACGTTCACCCTTTACGATCACATCTTTCATTGCTATCAATCTCGACCTACCTTCAACTTCAGGTCCTGAATGATCACAAAAAGTAGACAATCACAGAGGATACCTTGCAGGCTAGATGTTTCACAGGATAGCACTAACCCTATATTATTAGAAATGAAGCAAAAAAAAGAGACCCAATAGGACTGACACTGCAACCACTCGCGTTCATTTTTTATCCGCGATAATAAGCAGTGTCGAACAATTAATCATCCAGTGGCGAAAAGGTGAAAGCTGTCTAGACGAAGAAGATCGAACTACTTAGGATGTGCATATAATGGATGATGGGAGTATTTGTTAAACAGTACGCGAATTAATCACTATACCCGTTAGAGGGAATGTCTTGTCAATTCTTATTGGTGGACGGCATTGGGCAAGTGGGAAGATCCAAGCTAGTACTGACTAGGATAGATACATGGAAAAGGGGGTGAATCTAAGAGTACTAATGGTGGATCATCTCTCCACACGCCAAAATGAATGATAGTTCTAATATCCCTAGGAGAAAATTTTCAACAATCTTTCAATTTAGATATGAGCCCGTAAAAAACGAGCACTTAAAATTGCAGATCTATGCTCCACTGTTACGTCTTTGGTGCATGAAATACAATATTTTTAACAATTTTCCCCATATTAACGCTCCAGCACATCATCACATTGAGAATTACATTTGTATGGCTTGAAACCTGACACTAAAAAAACACTTTTATGCAAGATAAGATAGACATTTTCGGTGAACCAATTTATCAATTTTTTTGACCCTCTACGAGATGGTTGCGGCCCTAAACTCATATTGAAAAAATTACATTTTCTCAATAAAGATAGCATCGATTATGTTAATTGGCTTTTGCTTAGTTCCTGAAAGGGTTTAAGCCAAACGTGAGCAAAGAATGACATCACAGAATACCTATTTCATAGCGTTAGCGATCAAATATTGAAGAAGACAACAAGGTGTTTAGCTTCTAAAATGAGCTCAATTACCTTGAAAAATAGGTTTAATGGCGGAAAAGGAACTCATCTACCCGTTGTGTGTTTTGAAGCAGGAGCAAAGCTTTGATTGCTAGATTTTTCTACCAAATGAATAGTGCACAGCTCAATTTTTAGTCAGTCGAACCATATAAAAAGAATTTAAGAGCTAAAGCCACTTTACTTGAGAGAAATTGACATAATTCGTAGGGAAACGATTTAAAAATGCCTAGATTTTACCAGGTTTTATCAGAATATACTGCATACAGTTTACAGCAATACGTCTACTATAATGGCAAGTAAAATAGGAAGTAAATGCAGAGGATGTGAAATGTAACTAGGATTGTGGTTGATAGTAAAGCATTCCACAACCAAGTAACCGTTCTTTATTCATAAAAAATGGAAAATAAGTAAAATAAGGAGACCGCATTTTACATCACAAAAAAATCAGAATATCATTCAATCACCTCTATCCTTTACTGCTCGCGGTCTGAGGTAGGGAGCTGGAACTGGTTTCGAGATTACAAAGAACAAAAATCACTAATATTTATTATAATACTTAAGGAAATAGATTTATCACTATCAACTAATGTTCCCAAGGAAAATAGAACGAAAAAAGACTTCAATAAAGGCGTGCTTGAATGCCCTTAATCAAAGATCTAACATTATAGTAATAAATACGAAAATTAGTACCTTTTTAAATTTGTTCTAAGACAAGTCAATAGAACTAGCCATAGAAGGGTTTAAGTTTTGTTCGACAAGAACGTTTCTGAAACTTACTTCCACTGAAAGCAGTGGAGGTGACATCAGATATGCCAGCCATTCCATCGGCAGCAAGATTGGATGAAGGTATTGAAGAAACATTTGCCACGCCGCCTGCAGCTGTCATTGCATTTGTATGGAGCACCCAAGCACGTGGATCGATGGGCCGAACGGGTTCCTGTCGGGAGAGGACTAAACCTCCTGGGCGCGGGTTGGGGTCCCAACACTTTGCAACCACCAGTGTTATTGGCCTACAAAGATAGAAAAGACTTATGACTGAATTAAATCCAATGACTTCCACTAAGTTATGACCATTAAGTTAGGTGCACCTATTGGCAGTTCAATTCTGAGGGTTATGAATATGTCGAGGAGTGTGCGATAAACTTACCTCTACTTGGACAACGTATATCCATACGGCAAAAAAGTCAAACTACCATGACCCCACTCTGTAACATTCGACCATTTTAACAGTACTCACTTTACCTTATTCTCCATCTTTATGCCTGTCGTCATTACATCTATGAATCACTCTTTTATTCCCCCTTTCCACTTTTTGTGACTTAAATCCTCATCCCTTCTGTGAAGCCCAAAGCCAACTAAAGGGCTAATGATAACTATCAAAAAGTCTGCCATTGGATATAAATAAAGATATATGCCTATGAGAAGATAGAACTATACAGGATCTATCATATACCAGAAGATTAAGTGGAGTATAGAAAAAGCAATGCATAGACACGATGAAAGCTAAAAGAAGAAGAGAGTGACCACAGCGAAGTGACAAATTCTAACATAGTGCAAGGCACCAGATACATTGCTATTGGAAGTGGACAAATTCCACGCTGACTGGCATGAGAGAATAGTGGTCGTTGGTATAATTAGACCTCCTTCTCCCGACCTTTTCAAGCACATTAAGGACTTCACGTCAATCAATGGCTGTTTGTATTACTCCTAAAACCTTTCGTAATGAAGAATCATTTAAACCATGCCGCATACAATGCTGTTTACTTAACTAATGATCAGTGTCTTGTTCAGTTGGTGAGTGACTGTTCAAAAAACGTAAAGACAGAGCCGATATATCGCCCTGGGTTTTCAACACAACAGATTAACTTAATAACTATGATTTTACAGATTCTTGAAATGAGACCTAATTATAATAAACAAATGTTTTAGCAACAACAAATTTTCCAAATAGTTATCTAAGCATATGGGTTAGAGATTTAGAGATGACAGAGAATACACGATGTGAAAAAAAGGTTGTGATACGTTGGATTGACCTAATCGAACACAATCATTTCGGTATTCGAGGATATTAAATGATAATTTCTATTAAAAACACTCTAAGGAAAAATTATTGCATTTAAAACTAAGTAAATAAGGCGCCAATACTCTATTTCTTTTAACAGGCATTTGAGGAGTTCTATCCATTAAACTCAGGCAAGTTCCATGAGAGCACTAGAATAGCAGCATTAAACAGTGGTATAGGTTCACATATTTCGAAAAAAATAATCTGTGCATTAATATTTGAAAAAAGTAGACGATTTAACATAAATAAGAAAGTAACTATTCAAGAAAGGCGTAGAGAGGATGCTTCTGGGTGATCTATTTTTAAAAGCTTTAGTAGATAAACATTGAAAACAAAAGGGAATTTCTAGAACATACTATAAAGCCTCTATTTTAAACAGAACACAAAATATTTATAAAATGAGGAAACAGCTAAAGATAACGAGGGTGGAATAATGTGATGAAATAAACTGACTTATGGTGGTATGAAGATAGAGTGGTTCGGCGTTTGAAGACCAAACATTTAATTACCCACTTAGATGACATGATGATAAAGATTATTTCTATTTGAGCCCCAATGCCCCACCCCACCACGTTTCATGACTTATTAATTTGTTTTGCTTTGAGATTTCTCGTTTTCAAGGTCTTTCACGTGAGTTAAACGTGCAACCTTTTAGCCACACCAAGGATAATACTATAAGAGAAGAAGTCAGAAATAATCCAAAAGAACAAAATGTTGTCTACATAAAGGAAAAATAGGATTTTGAGAAAGATTCATTCGTACCCAGGTTTCTGGACCTGTTCCCTGAGAACTCGAACAGCGTCATCATTGCTCATATCCTCGAACGATATTCCATTGACCTCCAATAACATGTCACCGGGTTCAATCCGTCCGTCGAGAGCCACAGCACCTCCTCGCATTATTGATCCTACGTAGATACCCCCATCACCCGCACGATTCGATTGGCCAACAATGGAAATGCCCAGATAATTAACTGTGTCCATCTTCAGTGTCACCGTCACAATGTTCAGAGACATCGTAGAGTCAGTCATGCTGCTATATGATGAAGCCTAGAGAAATACGATCATTGTTTTACAGCGGGATATAAAAGGCCATTAGTGAGAAAATAACCAAATAAATTATTTCAATTGTTTTTGATATTTCTAACACGAGAAAAGTATAAGAGTGTTTACAGAGTAAATTTACTTAATTTCAATAGCAATCTCTTGAAAGGAAGATATATGTCGCCAATGAATAGCTCACAACCATGGTGGTGTGAAAATTGAAGATTTATAGTCAATACTACTCCAGGTTGGAATATGTTGAGAGAAATAAAGAATGCAAAAGCAATTAATACTAAGTTCATCATCAACAACCAACCGCTGTTTCGACTCAAAATAGCAAGAGTAAAGTGACCCAATCAGTGTACGGTAGTGATGGAAACTAGAGAAAGGGAAAGATGGAAGTGGAAGAAAGGAAACGAGGGAGAATGCGTGAATATAGTGCTAGAACCTACAGCCCTGTGAACGGGCCGTGTCCACGGGTTTTACAAGTAGCTTATGCATATGAGGAAAAGGTGAGTTCAACATGGATATTCATTATTCTCCAAGTGTTTCAATTGAAAACATTTCAAACGAACGCAACATTAAACATGATTTTAAGAATTTTTTGGGAATCTTTCAGGTTATCGGACAGCGTGGAGATTAAAACGGTAACTTGACATCCGAATTTTGTTGTGCATACAATTTATCAGATGAGAGGTTTATGTAGACAATAGTACTTGAGTCAGATTTTACAAGCTACGACTTAATTATATCAATCATTAAGACCACATATTTGAATAAATAAGGAATAACAAGAACAACTTCACCGAAATCAAGTAAGCCATTGTTTTGTTAATCAAATGAATTGATAGCACTTGGGAGAAAAGTAGGAAGCATGCATTTAACGCAATCGACTTATTAAATATAACCATATGCGTTAACAAGGAAACGATTGGTCACTTAAAAACTAAAATTATATTTTGTGTTGCAGTCTAACAAAATTTTATAGAGGCCAACTGGAATAAAAATATGTGCCAGGATAGAGAAAAGAACTATAAAATTCTTAAATCTAAGTTTTTACCACCTTTACAGCCGCTAAGCAGCTATGAAGAGGGGAAAGCGGAACAAACTAATTTCCCAATTTGTGCTTTCTATTAATAAATGGAGTCAGTAACTTTCGGAAATGGTTAAATACAAGAATACTAACGCGAGAACCACATTCATTCATGGGAACTACGCAGTGGTTCCACCACAAGACGTGATTAGATGGTTGACTTTTTTACTTAGTTTATGCGTATGACGGCGAGCACAATCCCATGCTAAGCACCAATCCTTGTAGACACATAAACACGAGAGAGATGCACTTTAGTAAGAACACAGACAACTGCTAAATAGAAAATCTCAGCTTCATGACACATAATTAGACTTTGCAAACAAAATTCACCATAAGTGAAAACTTTTCCAATTGTTGTTTTCTGAATACAAACACAGAGAGGATGAAAACCCTTCAGCCACTCTATAACATGACTATTTTAAGGACATAGAATCTAAAATGCACCAATAAGAATATGTAGGTTATGGAGGCAGTACGAGTGCTAATTTATTCTAATTATCTCAAATTGCACAAATAAAAGATTTAAGTAAACTAAAATGTAGAACCGTCTAACCAGTTACAAGTTTAATGATTCAGTCAAAATTAGCAATCTTAGAGTATATATATGAACTAAACTAGAATAGATCAAGCATTATATTTTTTACAAAAACAGATCAAAGATAAGAAATTAGAATAAGCAACACAAATGTATTAAAGTGTTCAAATCTGTGATTTGTTCTTTGCTTAAAGCTGAAAAATGTTTGTTTTAACTACAAACACGCTAAAGGGTTACATTGCCAACACGAATTAAATAAGTAAAAAGCAATCTATAATATGATAGGTAACTCGATTTGAAGTCGACCAAAGTTTCTTCGGGCCGTATTAATTCGGTGAACAGGCATAAAACATCAATTTTTAGAAATTAAGTAATTTCAATCTCTCGACAACTAAGCATTAAGCTTCATTTAACGCCTGCATTGTTATAATGTTTGTTAAATGGGGCTATTTTTCTGTTATCTCCGAATTCAAGCTAATGAAATTACAATTGAAAGCTAAACTGTATTGAAAAGTCAATCATTGGAAATAACAAATGCCAAAAGTATCAGAGCTGACCCACATCAATTGCAGTCTCAAAACAAAAATAGTGAAATCGGATTTTGCCTGAAAAGAACAGTCACATGTGCAACAGAGGTTTGTTTGTACAACAGTAAAATAAAGGTGCTAAATCTTGCCAATAGATCGTTAATTCACATTATTTCGGGCGCAAATTAAATGTGGTACTCGAAGGATGAATTATACTATAAAACCGCAGTATTACCAGTTCACGAAAAATAGAGAAATCGGAAGCTCTTGTCAAGTGCATAACTGAGTTTGCAACAAGCAAAAATGCCGAACGCAAAGTCTAGATACTCTTGCTACCTTGATAATTTCCTTATGCTTCCTATCAGACCTTCAAAAATAAATAAACTAAGTTTCTTGGAGTGCTGGTCTGTGTAAAACCTAGTTGAATGATCACTGTTAATGAATTGACGGTCAGCTACAGGCAAGCCGGCATAAATCTCTAATTAGTTGTAGGTGCTGCTGAGAGACTTCCAATACCACAGTAGCGCGTCTATGTGTGTTCGAATGATTTGTGCACTAGATTATATTGCAAATGCACGGACATGTTTTGCCTTTAACAGTCTTGAATAAGGGTTCAAACTTAAAAGAATGAAATAGAGGGAATAAATCATGATGATGTCGAAGACGACTTACATCCTCACTGATCCTGTTTATTGGCATGAAACGTCTACGTCGACGATGTCTGTGAGCACCGTAGCGCATCGAAGACATTGTTGTCCCAGTAGCTGTTGAAAATCTGAGAGCAAAAGGAACTTTCACGTTAACTAAAGCACAATTAAATCTTAGTTGTTAGTATTGCTTGATATTCAGTAAAATTTACACAGGTCTACTCTCTTCAACTGTGAATTGCCGAGGGCACAGATATCCGACTATGTTGCATGCAGACAGACGGGATATTACTATGTTTCATTAGTATGTAACTTTAATGAGCCTGTGAGCGTTATTAGACCATTACCATTTCAACAACCATGAATTTCACTACGAAAAGGGCATTAAAAATAATTGAACGCTTGCATTAAGAGATTAATATGAGCAGAATAAAGGTGGATAGAGGAGAGGAGAGGAGAGGGGGGGGGGTTAATGAATGCAAGTTTGGGAAATGAAATTAGTGAATAAGCGAAGAAATGAAGTGGACAATAAAAGTAACTACAATGTTTAAATATTGGAATGATTATTCAATAATTTTCCCGTAGTGCTTCTATAAAACCAATATAGGGAGCACTGAATCTTCTTATTAACAATAAAAGCACACCAGGTAAGCTTAGATTAAACAAAAGATAGAGGGACTGAGAAGTTGCAGGCACGAAATCTTTATGTGCACAATTAGTGGTTGGAAGCTGTTTGTCTTATCAAACAGTAAAAACAGTGAAAAATGCACTGCTGAGGAGGAGGAGGAGGGAAGGGGAAGGTGCATAAATGAAAAAAAGAAAAAGTTGGTTGCATTTGTTGGATATCGAATAACACAACTAAAACATAACCTCCGATGGCACGTTAATGAGCTCAAATGTTGGTTATCTATTTAATAATATTGTATCTTAATAATAACAAATTATAGCATTGTTTACTGAGGGCAAGAATTTGATCAGAAAAGTAACAATCGGGCAATCGACATTGAATAAAGATGAAATTTGTAAGCACAATATTTGCATATTGATCTGTTATGACGATAGAAACTGGTGTCTAACAATATATTTGCCTGATAGGATGAACAATCAGTACTTGAATAAGGTTTTCACAAATACTCTTAACACTTAGCTTCAAAATAATTATGGCGTTAAGTTAAAAAGGCGTTAACCTGTGCGTATCTTGGGTAGGAAAGCGGTATTACGAATGTTTCCAGTCAATAAACTCGAATTCAGTCACCCCTTTTGTCAAGCATAATTAGAGTGAATGGACATTACGTCCAACAGGTATTAAACTCGTGAAATATAGCTTGACTACAGCGTCAGGCACTAATTTGGCTTAAGACAACTTTAAGACAATTTAATTTCAATTGCTAATTGGATAAATAGGAGCTTTCATAGAAAAAATCCATTATTACCGAAAGATTTTGAGTAAAAACATGGCTTTTAATGAATGTTGGTGGCCGAATGATAACCTGCGAACGTGATAAACAATTACACAAAAATACGAGAACGAACTAACCGACTGGACTCATCCTCAGAGTCGAAGAAGCTGGTAGACTCCAAATCGGAGCTAAGCATAGAGGAGGACGTATCGTAAATGCTCTGGTTTCCCCTTCCTCCTCCGATTTTGCCAAGACGGGAACCTAGAAAAAGAGACACATGTAGTGAAGAAAATGCACTAATTTATGGAAACTTCATCAAATACTGCTCGAGCAAACTACGTGGACATGAACTTTACTGCAATCTCGATATTATTCAGTTCATAAGCAAAATACCGTCATTTGCACAAAATGGGTGAATATCAAGCGAAAATGACGACAATTCAATGCAGGTGCAGTTACTCATATTAGGTGAAATCATGATGTTTCAACTGCAATAAAGGCAAAGCTTTAATAATGCGCATGATTCAGAATCAGTCCATTAAAAAAGCTAAGGCATTTTCGTAAACTTCTGTACATTTCAAAAATCAACAAAGTTGAATCTTTCTCAAATAACAGAATAAATCGAAGTGTGGAAGGAATTTTAACAACAATACATGTCTTCGGATGGTTCTTAACGAGAAATTAAAGCCAACTAATTTTCAACCACTTTTGAAAGTTTAATAAATTGATTCAAAAGCAAATCTAAGTGACTATAGTGGTCCATATTTTTATCGCTTTTCCGCATCTTAATGAGTACTACTGAAACCCGTTTCCCATTTCATTTTGCAAACAAGGACGTTATGTCGATTACAAAAATCCATGTCAATATTTTTAACGGATCCGAGAGAGATATACAAGCTTCGTCCCTTCTGTAGTAGTAGGTTACTACACTCATATCTGCGCATGCAGTCCCCACTAAGCTAATTATCACTGTAATCACTTTCCGATCGGGTAGCCAAACATTCACTATGTACATAATTGTAAAGAAGTAAACTTATGTTCTTAATAAAAAGCCACTGCTAGAGATACAGCTTTTCTTTCTTAAAATAAACGCTTTCATAATGCCAGGTCAGTTTTACAAAAAAAATGGATTAATGCACAGATCAAATATGTATTATTTGATTTTATTATGCTATAAGATTATTAGCATTAAAATAAATACAATCTAACAAAAAAGTAAATTTATATTTAACAAGTTCTACAGCGTATTCAAATTTCAACGGCGATAATCTTAACTAGTTGAAATTCAGTAGACCAATTAGACCAACAAGCAATTAACTCAGATGAAAGTCATCAAGCATAAAGCTATTTCAAAGTAAATCTAGTGAAATAAATTCCAAATAAACCCACTACGTAACCACACTGCAGACCAAGATTAAATACTGGAATTGCGCTGAGTAGAGGAAAATCCGTGGACACTGGCATTGACTACCACACACAGGCAGCATAGAGTGTAAAAGAATAAATGACAAAAAAAGATAAGTAAAACTAGCCTTGTTTGTAGTTATGAAAGTTTTGCAGGGGAGGAAGATGATCGCCACTGCAGGCTGATTCGCTATCACCACATGTATCGCATTCATCTCGATCAACATTGGGTACATCATCTCTGTTCAAATTGGAAGTTTTGCCGGAATCCTCAATGAATTCGCCAAAGTTGGTGCTAAAAGAATATAGAAAATGGAACTGGTTAAAATCATTACTTAATTATTTTATTTTATTTGATGTTCTTCACAGTTAAAAACATAACCCTCAAGTAAATTGACTTAAAGTAAAATTGATGTTAGGAAAACTGGATTCGCTTACACTAAAACATCACCAGATGAAGAACGATTATCTGATTTGGCACTTCCATCAGCAGTCACTAACTAAACATAAATAAACGTATATCGAATTAGTTTATTGGTATGTAGGACAGGTAAGGCAATAAATTTAAATCTTCAAGATAAAAGATAAAGAAAATGTTCAAATATTATAATAGAAATACCCTCAAAAGACAGGAAACATGACCTTCATGTGAGACACAAAAAATATTGCACATAATACAGCAAACTATTAAGATTCAGGAGTTTAAACCTACCCACGCAATAACCCTTCCATTGAAGCAAGGCAGACTTGCAGTGTCGTCACTAATCTCTTCTTTGACAACACTAGGCGGGAATAATATAAAAACATACCCTACCCAAAATCAGCATCCACAGATTTAAAGAAGAATTTATAATTTGGCCTATTTAATGCGGCTTTAAAATCACCGAGGGTAACTTTATCCGCCTTGACGGAAAGTTTTACCAAATAAGGAGTATTCTCATCATCTATGTGATAAATTATTTTGGTATCATCCATATCACATAGACGAAATAGTAAAATACCCCGAAAAGGCCTTATGAACAAGCCGCTAATTTATGAAGGTTGGCCAAGGCCACTTTAAACATCTGCTGGTAAGGCATAATTTAAATTAAGAACTTCTTAATTTTGTTATTAAAAAGAATTAACTATTATCATGAGAATCTTAGTTAGTCCAATTTTAAGAAAATAAAGTTTTTTATATTCATAGAAAATGTACCATTTTATGGATAATACCTTTGAAAACACTATTCTGAAATTTTGCCTTATTATTAAGTAAATTTCAATGCTTGTTTTTTTAACTGCAAATAAATTTAATTTCTTAGATTGGCTCATTATAAGGCATGCGCTTGAATACCTCGGCTAAAGTTTGGTTTTACACGTAATGGATAAGAAAAGGCAGAATTGTCGTTCCCTTTATTAACAATACTTTCATGTAAAATGTCGAAAGAGTTAGTTATAAACTTACTTGTGAGCTAAATTAAATTTAAAATTTCCAAATTTCCAGTAATGGCGGCAGGATGGCTGAAGTTTTTGGCGTTTGAGACAAAAAGAGATTTTGATTCTAATCTTGCGTTTTATTTCTCATGTCAAGTTTTAAAAAAGGATTTTATTGCTAAAATGACTTTATTTAATGATTGTATAAAATATGTAAATTCGGAGTTAATGGGATCATTTTCGAGATCATGGGCAATCTTTTGCCGATTTTTTTAAGTTCGGATTTTTTCCATTCAGCTTCGCTGGAGACCAAATTTGGGCTTCATCCGCGTAAAGCAGATCAAATATTTCTAAAGGAAAAGGTTTAAATGATAGTCAATAGTTGAAATTAAATAGATAGCCATTAGGGAAAAAACTAAGTTGATCCTAGATAACTTCATATTCTATTCTGTACATTATTACTTACAACAGTCTTAGTGCGTATAAATACGAAATTAATGTTATTCAAAATAAAAGTTTGCAAACTTCGATTCGCATAGAATGGCAATTTTCGAAGGCAATGTTAAGGAACCAGTTGATCTATTATCGAAATGGAAAATTTCAAGAATGTGTAAACTGCCAAGATGGCTCTAATGTAATCGTACGTTTCAAATTATTTAACCAATAATCGAGTATGATAATTCTAGCAACCTAAAAATAGAATAATTTATTCAGGACTCATGATGCTCTGACATTATTGTCTGTTCCTTTTTACCTTCTCCTTTCATAGCATATTGAGTTTGCATGTAATATTTTTTAAGTATCATGGATATAAAAATTACCCTGTAAATTGGCCTCAAGGAGTCGAATGCTTCGCAAAGAGCTTGCAATGGAGGGATGCATTCCAGTTGGCTTGCCATTACTCACAGCACCCACCTCTTCATCAACGTATATATCATCTCCGGCAGAGCAGTATCCGGTCTCAGAGTAGTCTCGTCTTCGAAAAAAAAGGCATGGTTTGCGTGCAATTAATAATCAAATATTCCTTAGTTACCTAAAGCGGTTCGAATTTCTTTGGACATATCAGAAGTCTAAGATTTCGGTCCACTTCCCACTTGTGCAAATAAATCAAAAAGAGAGGGGGGAGGAATTTCAGTTAAGTTTTGTACGACAGGACTTATTTTGACGCTTTGATTTTAAGTCGATATTGAAGTAGATGCATTAGTTAGAACTGGCTTATCAATACTGTGTTTTTGAATACACCCTCGATGACTACAGTTATGACTCATTGCAATATGAAAAGTTTTGACTTAGAAAATCTGGGTAGCACAGGGACGTTCGCGCATGATGCATACGATTGTTACCTAAAGTAGACATATCCAGGAGACTGATGCATTGAATATGCAGCGGGACGTAAATGATTGCAGCCTTCGCTCATGAAAAATGAGGATAACATTTGTCTCTGTAAAACAATTTTGATTTCAGATACCCGGGAATGCAAAGTTGATGCAAATTAGATTCGTAATCATTCAAACTTGTACAATCATATAATTGAGGAATCAGTTCAAGCCCGTTTTAAATCAGGAGAAGTCAAACATATAGACTGCTCAAGTATAAAGGATTGGACAGTGGAATCTATTCCCTCTTTCAAATAGTTAGTCATATAAGCTACCATTTCCCTTTTATATGTGACAGTACATTAATAATGGAATGATGTATGGTAACTAACTTAGTTTGAAATGATAACTTATCCCTAAAATCTGTTCAATGATTATGAAATACATGAGTATGATATTTTTAAGAAATTCGATAAATGCACTGGAAGGTTGAATTAAATTAGACTTATAATGAACTTACTCTACTAACTTGCGGAGACGAAGGACGTGTGTTGCAAGTCCTTCTAATTTCTGACTGACCGTTTCTATCTTAGAAACTGAAAACTAAAAACGCAAAAAATCAGTTTTCACCTCCATATTATTAAATATATTTCAATAAATGCGCTATATTTTGATTGCTACCCAACCCCATTTCTGTTTCCTTTCCCATGGCCTTACAGTTTGGTTTCCCCTGTGTTGCATGATTCAGACTGTGCCAGCATAGGCTAGGGATTCTTAACAAATAAATAGTACTTCTCTAGGTTTGGGATAAAGAAAGACCATATCTTCTAAAATAGGATTGTGCTCAAAAGAAATTATATTTCAGTTGATTGGTTGCGGACAAAGAAGGAAAACGGCCACAATAAGCAACCATTTGATCTGTCACTAACGCTGAGGGAATACGTCAATGTCTGATTTAAAACAAAGCAATTTCAATGTGCACAATGTTAAAGCCAATTCAATTAATTGGTTTACTAACGGGAAATTATGTGAAACAAAACTAAGCCCTAATAAGGAGAAAAACCAATAAAATACCTAGAAAGGATTTCACTTAAGACGACACTTGATTTAATTTCGGATTCGTATTTCGAGTTTTTTGAATATACAAAGAATATAAGATATTACCGAAAAAAGAGAAGAATTTTTACTAATTCATTTTGAAGAGATGCTCTCTGGGGAACGATGAATGCACGTATTTCCCAATTTCTATACCTGCCGAATTCACAAGTCACATTCTAATTTTACCCGAGTTAGGCATACAGATTTATTGGTAGAAGGGAAGGTTAAAGCATACATGCGTACCGAGTCAGAGGTCATGAGGAAAAATACTCAACGGTCTCTTTTCAATGGACATTAAAGAATTCTTGTCACCGGCGGGGTGAGAAAGTATAAGTTTATAACGTGTGAGTCACCATGTCACCTCACCTCAAATTAATTCAAGTGATTTTATGGGAAATCGAATAAGTCGATTTATTGGTTTCAATAATATGAATCAATCATCAACCACGAGGGATGATGACTGCCCCTTAAAACCATGTTAAATATATTCCCAGCATTCCTCCACAAAATGAACCCATTCAGTTTTGCCGCATTCTTCCCCGTCAAGTTTGCATAAGTCAGACCTAGTTTCTACAAGCTAATGTTTGGCAGTTAACTAGCGTGAACATCACCTTAAATAGCCCACAAATTTAAAAAAGTAGTGTCATAGATCTTAAAGATATTAATGGAAAGAAGTTATAAAAGATTACCCTTTCAGTTACTTTTGGCTACCCCAATACTCAGACATCCTTGCAGCTAGTTACTTACATAATCATCCCTACTCGAGGGAGACCTCGGCTTCGACACTCGTTTCTCTGACCTGGCAGAAGTCGGATGTCCAATAGAAGGCTTCACCAAAGTTTTTGGTCGAACAGATTTTGATGTCTAATAAAGTAGAAGCTTTTGTCAGCAAATAATCACGTGATTAAATCGGTAACTTGGATTTAATAATTTTAGCTGTAATTGTCCAGAACGTTTGCAAATAAAGTGATTTCGAAAATTCTTAGTTAAAATATGAATAGGCGCCACTTTAAGTAGTAGATTATAAAAGACTAACATAACATCAACCTGGAGCTCAATTCGTATAGTCTGCGTTTTAAATCAGAATCGGAATTTAAACCCCACACGTAACCATTCTTTTGAGGTCACACTCTCCTTTCAATGTCTTGAGGTTAGTCTGGACAAAACAGCCATGAATTCAACTGCCCTTCAGCGACAAGTAAATGAATTGACATTCGTTTTTCAATTGTTTTATTAATTTATTTTGCTTCATTTAGATTATGTCTTTTAACATTCTTACAGTAAATTCTTTTTGAGTCTTAGACAATTTAATTTTTTGTCTTTATACAATTAGCCGATCAAGATTTACATAAGTGTTACGTAACGTGCCTGCCTGTAAATTTCAGCTTGTAGCCCTGCAACTCGAAGAGATTCGGCTCTAATTTGTGCAATAAAACAGTTTGAAATTTTATCTATTACAACTCTTTATTTCATTAGATGTTCGAATAAACAAAAATATTAGTAGCTTTTTTAAAAACGTCTAAGTAGAAGACGCCAAACAGTAATGTCCAAATCCCAGGTGATTGATCACAGGATGAACTCTACTTGGAACATGGTGACCTGAGCACACTTTACTTTCCATTGTCAAAACGTGTATCTCACATATCTGTCAACTCAATTGCACGATATGATTTTATTAAGTATAGATTTGTTCCATTTATAGGCATAGTTAATAATTGTTTACACGGGGTGTGGGATAGACTTACCTCCACGTGGTACCCCCTGGACAACGTATCTTCGTACGGCAAAAAAAGTCTATTACTCGGCAATTTATTTGATTTGACTTCGATTTATTATGATTAGCTTGAAACAAGGCTATAAGAGAAACCGTCCTCGTCAGGGCGAATCACAACGTCTTCAGATCCTCCAGTGGAATGCTGGAGGCATGTCACAGGACAAAAAGATCAAAGTCCAGAAAATCCTACAAACCTATGATGTAGACATATTCACAATTATGGAAGCAAACATTCCGGATGACAAACTAAAGTACTACCAATTCCCAGGTTACACCCTGTACCTTCTACCCAAATACCGGCAAGTTGCAAGTGGAATTCTAACTGGGGCAAAGGAAGGCCTCATCTCACACTACGATCTAATCAAGAGTAT